AATATAATTTAATAAAAGTTAAAATAAATTCCATAATATACCAATTTAACTCAATTTTACAGCTAGAATTCGCTATGATCTATTTAAATCGCCGACTGCAGCCGCAACCGAGAAAAGTGCGAAATCTACAAATTATGGGTCTATTCGATATGAATCGTGGATTTTGGAACTCGATGAACGCCTCCATAGGCATGAATGTGCTCATTCTATGGCAGTTGGCATACAAGAACTATTATTGAAGCAATCCAATTCACATTCACATTTACATTTAAAAGCTATTTAAAAGCTTCGGACCCGTAATAGTTGTGCAGAGCTTTTAATGCCTGTTTATAATGGCCAAAAGCTCTTTGTGAAGTGTCAACTAAAAGCCTTGCGACACTAAAAACAATTGTTTGCTGCCCATCATTTCCCAGTATTTGAGTGCTATGGAAATGGGCTAAATGCTAGGGTTTTTAAGTGTATTTTATTTTTAAATATACTCCTTTTTTATATTTTAAGTGAAATAAACTTTAATGTGAAAAACTAATTTGGGTTGGAGATTTAATTTATTTTTTGAGTTTTGATTGTATTTTATTTAATTATAAAAATATATGCAAGTTTCTAAATAAACATATAAAAATTGACAGCAAACTTAAATTGATAAATAAATAAAATGTATAAATAAGTAAAAATGATAGAAAATTAAAATATATAAATGAGTAAATTGATTTGGTTTGGACAGTGATTATCTCTGTTACCCCTTTGAATATTCGATATATGGAATACAAAATTTTATATGTTTTATACATGACTATCAATAACGGATGTGATTAATTTGACATTCACATACATATAAATATAAATATGTATGCTCATATATACTATAGTCTCCTAAGGTCTGCTAAAATAAATAATTAATGTTCCGAATAAAATATCTCAGATCAGGTGTATAGTTTTATATACAAACACCTGGAAGAGAATTTTGTGAAGCCTTTACACCACATGATTTACTGATGACCTCCTTCCTATATACTCCTCCTTCCCTATACTACGCCCTTATATTGATATAGCTCTGATAACCCTGATTTGAGGTTGAATCACTGTTGACCTACTCCACAAATAGCAGCGTAATGATGGATAATCAGCCTGTTGGTATTCAGGAAACCAAAGCAGTGTCATATAGCTTGGGTATCAGAAATTTAGTTGGTGTCTATCGGTGCATAAAAAATTAATACTAAATATAAGTTCAAATAGAAAAAATTGATTTTTATTAAGTTGTTATTTTTACAGGAATTGAATTTAATGAACAAGAAGAAGAATTAAGATTAGGTTGACTCGATAATTAATCAAATTGAAATAAAAAATTCTTTCCGATTTTTTGATATCTTATAATACATCATGGACATGCATATGGGAAATGTAATATGTCATGTCATTCCATTTAATATGTCATTTCTCAATTTTATTTAGTTTTAATGCCTCTCTCATCTGATTTGCTTTATTGATATATCATTTTCTTTAGCTTCTTTCATGCTATATCTAATTTTCATTCTTGAAGAAGTTTTCATACTTCAATCCCTGATCATGGCGACGCTTCAGATCGAACTGCATTAGCAGGATGACATGGGTCAGCACCGCGGCCATGTAGCTCAGGCAGGCGGGCTTATCCAGTATCACGCAGCTGCATATGCGATAGACCAGGCGATTGTTGCGCAGACGATGGCCAAAGAGCTCCAGCTGCAATTAAATGAAATATAATACAATATAGTGAAATATAACTTGATCTGGAATGAATATGAGAGCAAACCTCCTTGTGTGATTCTGCGCTCAGTCGACGCAGATCGTTGAATTGAAGCAGCAGCAGAGCCGAGTCGTTGCAGGCCCTCAGTGCATCATCCAGCAGATTCATGAGCAGAACGGAATTCAATATGTTGAGGCTGACCAGTGCGTCGCCAATGAGGATGCCCACGTAGTTGGACTTGATGGTCTTGTTGCCGAACTGAATGGCATGATAGAAGATGCTCACGTTCACGGCGAACATGTTCAGAAAGATGCTGGCATTGGCAAGGTCGTAGATGCTGAAGACGCGTCTGGCCAGCAGCAGCCACTCGCTGTGTATGCGGGCCACTCGGCTCAGCTCTGCCTGGGAGCGGCGCGAGCGGCTGAGCGAATGCAGTGCCAGCTGCACGGCTCGGAACTGGTGAATGAGCAGGATCAGCAGAGTTATGAAACTCACTCGCTGAGCCGATAGCATTAGCATCGTGGCAATGCGAAAGAGGAAAAACAACAGATTGGTGCGCGCGTGCAGGCGGAATTGCATGGTGAGCGAGAGGATGACCATGGAGTAATTGACGCACAGCATCCGTAGCATTCGGCCAGCCAACTCCAGTTGCAGGCGCTCCAGGGACTTGGCACCATTCACTCGGCACAGGGTCGGCCAGTGGGCGTGCCAGCGCTGCAGTAGGTCCGCGTAGAGCTGCATCAGCCGGCGGCGCTGCAGCCAAACGGTGCCATAGCAGCTGAGCAAGGCGACAATGCGAAGAGACGTCATCAGCAGCTGGGACCACTGCAGGACAATGTTGTGGCGCATATAGCTGCCCAAGAGGCCGCTGGCCATCATGAACGGCGTCTCGGCCAACACGAACAGGGCCGGGCACACACTATAGATCAGATATCCGGCGGACACTCTGCTCACGCTCACCCGGCCCAGGCTGCTCTGCAACGTCGACGGCAGCAGCCCGTAGATGAGCACCTGGCTGTAGCCGATGTAGAGCAGCAGGCGCAGCCGACGATGCAACATGCTGCGACTCGCGGCTAATACTAATTGACTACCAAAACAGTTGACAGACCTGCGGCTGCCCCCCCCCCCCCTCTCGGCCGACCAGGCAAAATTAATTAGCTAAGTGAGCCCCAAGGCATTGCGGCTGATAATCTGATCTTGCGTGACAAGTTTACACCAAATTCCGTTATGCGTGTGCATTCACTGTACTCACTGTTCACGTGTCAAGGCATACTGATTGATACATTGACTGATTGATTAATTAGGATTATATCCCTCCCTGATTGACATGAGCTGTATAGGCTGGAGTAAAATGGTTTGGAGGCAAACCCTTTTCTTTTGGAATGCAGGGAAAGTTCCTCGAATTTGTACGTAGTCACAAGGTTGATAATAGAACACGAGGTTGATAATAGAGCAAAGATATGCTCTGAATGCTTTCCTATTAAATGAAAAAAAAAAAAAAA